GAGCTAGTCCTCGGGGTGACCTAGCATGAGCCTAGCTGACAGTCAAACTGATGATCCCAAGTGATGCTGACTCCCTGTGTCCTCCTGCAAAGGTCTCCAGCAGCAGAGCTCCTCACCTCCCTGGAGGAGATAAGAGAGGAGGGAGTGCTCCTCCCAGAAGGAGAGGCCAAGGAGTGGACGGTGACTGGGGAGGGCCTGCTTGAGTAACTCTCGTCGTCTTCTCGCTCTTGTCCCGGGACATGTGACCCCTAGATCTCAGGGGTTCTCTGACCGTGTCACTCTCACGCCCCATCATCCTCCCAGACAGGTGCAGGAACCCCTGGAGGAGTTTGGCTCGGTGACCTTCCACTCGCTGCTGCCTCCTGCCGCTGATCGCAGAGACTTAGCCAGGTTCTTCTATTCCTTGTTAGGTGAGGAAAAGGCTCGGAAGCAGCAGTATTTTGGTCTTGTGCATATTAAGGATTTACACGGCTGGATTGCGTGGAAGTTACCAGTAACGGAGAGTGTTGCTCCGCTCTGGTAGAGCTGGTGACGGCAGGAAAGCTGAGCGTGGAACATAGGCAGCCTTACGGTTCCATTGTCATCTCAGCGGGGCCACTCTACAAGTGACAGGTCGCGGATGCAGAGGGGCATCACCACCATCCCCTGAGTGTCCTGCTCGGGGTGACAGCAGTTCCAGTTATCCAAACCCTGAGGGTATGAAGCCACATTACCACCCAGTGACACCCCAAACCCACCCGCTGTTATTTGAATTGTTGTTGTTGCAACACTATTAAAATTTATTTGTAGCCCTCATGGATTTCCTCAGATTTTTGAGATAGTCCTTTCTATACAGCAATAAACTGCTATAAGTTTCTACATAAAGACCGTCCCAGCTGCATCTCTCTGATAGTGTTGATATCTAAGATCATCAGTAAAAGGTTATTTAGAATTGTCACCAATAATTTTATATTTAGATTGATTACCCTCTGTATACTCCTCAAATGCTCTCTCTCTTCTCCAGTTCTCCGTTGAATCATATTGTATCGCATTAGTAGTTCATTTGTATCTTTAATGAATCGGATCATTGGCAATGCATCGAGATTGCATCACCTCAGTGATGGAGATGCACGTCCCTAGTAGGTACAGATCATATTGCAGAAACTTCCTATTGTAAGTTAGGAACATTGACTTAAAAGTTGTTAATCTCTAATGGCTTTTTCCTAAATCAGGTTCTAACCCTAGATACCACGGTTACCACACTATTAAGGCAGGATCTGCAAGTTATGAAGTTTGTGTAGTATGGCCTGGCGAGAACCTCCCCTCCCTGCTGAAATGCTTCATCTGAGTGCCTCAGAGTTTTTATAGGAAAGCAAATTTCTATCCATGATTTTAATCAATCATCAGCTGTAAGTCCCACAAGTTCTCAGGTCTTTTTAAACTGATTTTAATCACCTTAACTAAACCTACAGTCCCCAGTTATATGCAAAGACTACGTTGGAACAAGTATATCAGACAGTGTCGCCTTTTAGGATCGGCACGTGCAGTCAGACATTCACATGCGGCTTTGGCTGTGTTGGCGGGGTGTCCCGTTAAATTTTGCTACTTAGTAGCACATTGCCAAAGTTGAACTTTAAAAGACAATTCTGGGTGATGCTAAAAGTCCATAAATACATTGGAGGAAAAGGATTTCATTCCACACGTACAGTACTTCTGTTAGTTAGTGACACAACTGCAGACAGATGTGAGGATTGAAAACACTGGATGGATAATCCCACAATTCAATGTTTGCCATTTGCTTAAATTTACTGAACAGGAAAAAAAAATATCACTCTCTGCTGGAAGAGGCTGAAAGCCTTGATATGCTATTTATCAGCACATTCCACTGAGGCTTAAACTGGAATAAGTTAATATTGAGTAACTGGCTTGGGTCTGGCTCACCACAATTCCTGTCTTCATTTGCAGTCACTTATTATTCATTTGATGTGATTATTTAACCCTAATGTTAAATCTCCCAAAAGAATTGATACCAGCTTACAGTTAGTGGGTCAGAATTCAGGCTAGTGAGAGAGCAGTGCCAGGGCTGAGACAAATGCCTGAGAACAATGACACTTGGCTGAGGGTCATGTGACCTGCATCACTGTCCTCACAGGCCCAGAAAAACCCTGTCCTACTGGGCTTGGCGCACACGTACAGGGACTTTGGAGTATTACACCCGAAGTAAAATTCATCTTAAATTTTGCTTTTATATTTTTCCTGTTTCTGAACTTAAAGTCACGGCAATAAAGATGTCAACAGATGAGAGCATCAAGTTATTCTCCAGGACAATGTGCAAACCTCAGAGAGGTTCATCAGGTTCTCTGACACATTTGTAGGCAAACGCAAGCGTTTCCATCACCTTTCACAAAAAGGGTGGTAAAATCAACAGCCACACTCTAACAAGATAGCATCCCTTCATATTGCCGTTAAAATCCACCCATAAAATTTCGGCAAATGATTCACAGATTGCTACCAGCAAATTCCACTGAGTAGAGTGAGGATCAAGTGTTCTACAGCTGCCGTTTCCTTCCTTTGCTGCCACCTAGTGCTGCTGCTGCTTCATTTGTCTCGAAAACAGTTGCGTATTTTCATCCAGGTAATGTTTTTGTGAAATGGTAATAAGACCCATTAAATAATTATGTTCACAAGGTCAAATGTCTTCTGCAGTCACTCTTGCCTTTGCAGCCACTAAGCAGCGTTGATTCAAATTTGTCGCAAGATTTAAATACTACCAGAAGAGTACCCATAAAACGTGTTTACAAAGGTTTGGAAAAGATTCGCTAAATGCTTTGTGATAGTGTCTGCAGTAGCAGTGGATTGGTCCTAAATCCATTCCATTCATCCATTTTCACCCAGACTGACATCCTCATTACTTGGAAATATTGACTCCAGCTGCATACAAACATACTCCATTAAACCCACATGCAGCCTTCAGGAAGTGTGACACACATGACGGACCTGCAGGGGGTGATCAGATTCCTCAGTGTCCATAGCATACAGGCAGTCTCAGGGTTCCCGCTGCCGCTCGTCACTCTCGTCATTGACGAAAACGGAACCCATGGTGACGAAGAAAAACGGCATCAAATCGTCACTCTGGCGAATTCAATTTTCAAATGACGAATTTTGAATTTTTGAAAAGTCGAATTTCATTTTTCCCCAATTTTCAACCGTAGCACCCGTAGGTCCTAATCAAAACTGGCCCGCGCCCCGGACACACGATCGTCTATCATCCATGTCAAATGAGCATGGGCCGTTCTAAAAGTAGCAAATGTTATCGATCGGTGTGGGGACATTATAAAACGCTTAATGTGGTTTAATGTACCAAAATAGCGACCAATAATCACCAAATTTCACACACACACATCTGGTCATAAAGACTTTCACCTGACAAAAAATCAAAACCGAAATACAAGGAATATGGACTTTATTTTACATTAAGCCTTTTCCTTATAATGGGCGTCAATGGAGGGGAAAACGCTTAACGTAAAATAAAGTCCATATTCCTTGTATTTCGGTTTTGATTTTTTGTCAGGTGAAAGTAATTATGACCAGATGTGTGTGTGCGAAATTTGGTGATTATTGGTCGCTATTTTGGTACATTAAACCACATTAAGCGTTTTCACATTAAGCGTTTTAGAATGTCCCTCTCAAAGGTACTATGAAACACCGGGAAAGTATTAGCTTACCTTATATATATAGTAATTAGAACATTATTTCCGAAATGCGTACTATACATCATGTTTTCAGCACGCAAATTTTTACACAGTATTCACGATTCTCCCAACCTTATCAAGTAGACTCGTGACTCGCCCATGCCGTTAGTTGACCAATCACAGTGTGGCTTGTTCCAAATATGGAAGAAGGGATTCCCCATGCTTTGTACCCGGATGTACTTTTTTAGTATTTCCCCGCCAAGCTAGCACCTGTCAGATGAGTGAATCATGTCGAAACAGCCTGGACTTTTAGCATTCGGGTTCTCTAAGGCTGCAAAAGGTGCTGATAACGGTGCACCTCGCACTGAACGGTCGTGAGTTTAATGATTAATTTATTAAGAAGCGGCGATAGAGTGACTAAAAAAAACGGATGCTGAAAAAAAGTGAAGAATTTGATTAGTAGAAGCAAAAATACAAAGAAAAGTGAAGAATTGAAATCAAACTCCAGGGGGAACCCTGCAGGCAGTTGACCTCCACCTCCAGAGGCTGGTTTACTCCATGACTCCCAACAGTCATCAAGCCGTTTGCTGTGCATGAACCACATCTTTTTGCTGCTTTGCCATCTGCCGCAAACAAAGCACATTTCGCTCCTTTTCCCTAGCATGTGGTCTCGATGCATGCAGCATACTGATCTTACAGGTCTTGCTAATCTCCACGTTCTGATGTGTGAATAAGGCTTTTCAGAGCATGAGAGGGGCAGTAAATCTACCTTAGAGTTAGAACAGCAACCACAGTGAAATAACATTTTTTAGGATAAGCTGCCTCCTGCAGGACCTCAGCTGAACAACAGGAGTCCTAACTGGTATTTGTACCTTGCGATGACCTGCTGACTATATGACAGCTTGTCCCTGGTGCTTCTCCAAACCCTGCAGATGACAGGGCAGCCACTGCTCCATCTCTCAGAGCAGTCAGTCTTCCTTCATGCCCTGAACACAAGAACCTCTCGGAAGCCATCACAGATCTTCCTTACAAATATTTCTCCATTCCCCAGTATTACACCCAAAGTAAAATTCATCTTAAATTTTGCTTTTATATTTTTCCTGTTTCTGAACTTAAAGTCATGGCAATAAAGATGTCAACAGATGAGAGCATCAAGTTATTCTCCAGGACAATGTGCAAACCTCAGAGAGGTTCACCAGGTTCTCTGACACATTTGTAGGCAAACGCAAGAGTTTCCATCACCTTTCACAAAAAGGGTGGTAAAATCAACAGCCACACTCTAACAAGATAGCATCCCTTCATATTGCCGTTAAAGCCAGGACAATGGGGGAACACATCGATAACTTTTATTCATTTATGATGAGTACACAGTTTGGTCTGTGGGAACAGGGGAGGGGAGAATAGCGAAATACAGCTTTAAGGGCATTAAGACAAAAAATTTAAAGAATTACCTAACATGACAGAAACAAAAAAAAAACATTACAAGTGGGAAACGGTCGCTGGAAGCAGCCAGATTCCCACAACATACACAGTAGTGCGCAAGTAACGGAGGCACAATGAACAGGGAAGGGCCATGTTGGGGAGGTCACACACACCTCCTACAGCAGCCTCCCCCGGCACTCGGTGGAGCCGCAGCAGCACAGCAGCTCCTTGCCTTCCACGCTTCCCACTTCATAGTTATAGTCCCAAGTGAGCTCGGTCCCCGCCCGTATCCGCCTGAAGGGGGCGACACAGGGCAGAGTCAGATTTGTCTCCAGAATGATATGGAAACTCTGCGGTAAATGGCAGAGCTCTACAAACTGTATCCTTGAGTCACTTGATGGTAGTGGTATTGTTTCAGGATCAGTTGGACCATCTAAAAACACAGCATCATCCTGCAAGAACATTAAAAGGCTGAACAGCCACAGAAACCCTAATCTCTGGGCAATGGTACTTACTTGCTGGCAAAGAAGGCCACCCAAGGAAAGCGCAAGTCATGAGTGTCCACAAACACGTTCTGCACAAAGAGGTTCGGGCTACAGCTGTGCTGTTGGGCAGAGAGGAAGAAGACAGTGAGCAAAGGATGAATTACATCAAACATGCCCTCTGCTTGAACATGCCTCATCCCGTTATCAGTTTCAGCCAGCTGGTCGTCCTCCTCCACCCTTCCATGCCTCCACCCATCCTGTAGCTTGCAACTCACGTTGAGATAGCGCCCAAGGTTGCCCTCCAGCTTGGCATCGATTATGTAGCAGGATTCCTCGCCATCAAAGAATTGCCTAGTGTTCTTCCTAGCTAGGCCGCCTTCTCCCCCTGCCCCCCCAGGTCCCGCTGTCCCCCCGCTTCCACCACCTCCACCAGTCTTGACCACCAGGCTATGAGTGGATTTGAGGGTGAATCCACGGGTAGACTTGACAGCCACCTGCCTCTTTAATGGCCCTTAGAGTGAAGAGAACACAAAGAACTGATGAAGAGGCCATAAATGAATGACAAAACCACCAGAACATCTTTGAATCCCCGGTGTCCGTTTCCTTTCTCCACTAACCCTGAGCCTGTCTCTCCCGCTCCTTGTCGTCAGACCCAGAACTGATGGTCTGGACGTCGTCGCTGTCGGAGAGGGTCATGACATCCTGAGGAGTAGACAGACCGTCAATCTGCCGTCATACAGTCAAACTCAAACAGGGGAAGGTGTCACTTGACAGTCCACTTCCCATACAGACAGCATTTATTCGGCAGAAATCCACAAGCACATGACTAGAAGCCAAAGCCCGGTAGCACACCATGTTGCTTCCAGGAGGCTTCTTGCCGGTCTCGGTCTTCACAGAGATGGAGCCCCTAAAAAAAAAAAAATGGAAGGATCATTGGTCACATTGAGCAGCTAGAGAGGTGTAAAATGTACCTTGCTCTAGAAGTCATTCCTTTTCCATATCCAAACTGGCATTGCATACTCCACCGTCTTTGTTTCAAAGTTCTTCATTACCAATCAACACCAGCCTCATTAGGACACAAACCCAGTGATGGACTAAGGACTTACAGCGCAGGCTTCTGGTCCAGCGGCTCCTGTCAGACAGCGAGATCAGAGAGCCCTCAATGTAAGCTCCTCAATTCTGAGGATGGTTATCAGTAAAGCCGAGAGCTGAGCCACCACAATGCACCCACCTTCTTCTCGGTCTTCAGTCCTTCCAGTTTGACTGCAGGCTGCGTGCCAGAGGAGGATGCCTGGCTGGTCAGCCAGGAGGCCACCTTGCTCTTGCCGCTCTCTTCTGGCATGACAGGTGGCTTCCTGCCCTCTGTCCCTCCTGTTGACACGCTTAACCCATCCTTACTGTCCTGGCTGCCTGTGGACCAGCGACCAAAGTCATCGGTGGAATTCTGCAAGAACTAACTTTAAATCAAGTACAGTCAGGTTAATCAAAGAGAATGGCTAAATAAAGCAAGGGTGTTCACTATGTCCTTTGGTGTGGAAACGCCGCTCCATAGTTTAGATGCCGTGGACTAAGCCATGACCTAACTTGCTGGCTTACACCCGCCCCAGACACCTCCTCCCCCTGTCTCACCTTCCTTCAGCCCCTTGGCCTGCCTCCGTGTAGTGTAGCTTCTCCACACTGAGCTGGAGCTATAGTAAGCATTCCTGATGAAGTTCTCGCCAGAGCTGTCGTCATCATCATTCGAGTCATCTTCTTCATCATCATCATCTTCCTCCCCATCTCCAGAGGAGTCCTCACCTCCTGGGTATGGCACAGAGAGAGGGGGATGTTTCCTTTCTACCCAAAAATGAATGGGGATTCCCAGTAAGGAGTATCTCTCTCCAGGAACTGTAATACTCCTAATGGTACTGACTTTGGGCGTCACCTTGGCCTCCGTTGCCACTGTTGGTGTCGTCCTCAGCTTTCTGGTAGCCTTTCCTCTGCGAGCTCCTGCCAGGCACCCGAACTCTGCTCATGTCCACCCCGCTGCCATCACTGTCAGAGCAGTGAGCCTCGCTCTCATAGCCCTCTTTGAAGTTCTCCACACTCTCAATGTGGTCCAGGTTGGCGAAGTACTCATCACCCATCTCCAGGCCTTCCTTATCGGCAAAGTCATCTGTCAGGATTTTACCTGTTGAAGAACAAGACACGCAGAAGGGAGAAGTCAAGGTACAAAGCACAGTGATGAGTTTCCTGATGGAAAAACCGAAACACCAAACCACCAACACACACACACACACACACGTTTTCATATCTTTATGGGGACTGGCCATTCATTTCTATGGCCAACAATGACAACCATAACCCCTACTCAGCCCTTAATCATAACTAACCAAACAGGGGGACACCCTAAATGGGATGCCAGTCCACTACAGGGTACAAAGAGAGACACACAGAGAGACAGACAATGGGCAATTCAGGGACACTAAACAGCTGCAGGTCTTTGCCTAAGGCAGGAAACAGGAGTACCCGAAGGAAGCCCAGCTGACATGGGGAGAATGCGAAGGTGAGATTAATACCCTCAGCCCTAGAGACAAGGCAGCAGCATTAACCAGTGAGCCAGTGTGCTGCCCAAGGGCCCGGGGAACAGGCCGAAAGCGGTACCCATCTCCATCACACACCCACCGGCATAGATACAGACGAAGGAGCCTTTGGCCACGTCATCCAGGCAGCGGATGCCCCAGCCCTTGTTCTGCGTCTTGAAGAGCTGCAGGCGCACTTGGAGCCCGTGCTGCACCAGCCGGTTGATGCACATCTGGGGGTTGCAGCGGCATCGCTTGTTACACTCATATACCCTAAACGAATGGAGGGAGAGGCCAGTCACATCATACAGCCAATAGGGAAACCGGAATCACGGGATGAGGTGAGAGCATTGGGGGGTCCCTACCCTGTGGGAAGGCACTCCTCGAGCCTCTTATAGGAGTAGCCGGCGTTCGTGTTGATCTGGCCCCCAGGGGTGCAGGCGGTTGCCTGGAGGGTCAGCTGGTGACAGGCACACTTTGACCTGCAGCAACAAGCAACTTCCCAATCAAACCGGTCCCTCATTCCCAAGCAGAGGGAAAACAGGACCAGAGGGACCAATCAAGGGGACAAATCAGGAAGGTAGCAGTTCCCCCAGAGATACATGGCATCTGGCGGAGAGCTAATGGGGGGGGGGGGGGGGTGGGCGTTGGGGACTGACTTGTTTCTGCAGCCATCGGTGCAATCACAGCCCACCAGGAAGTCCAGGCTGGTGTTGATGAAGACCCCGTCTGCCGGGATGCGCTCCTTGCTGTAAGCCACACTGGGCGGGGGGGTCCCGTCGATCTCGTTGACGCAGGACAACGGGATGTCCTCGCGGCCATTCGTGATGTCCTGGATGAAATAGAAGGGCTTCTGCGGTTGGAAGCGCCGGTCCACCAGCACGTAGGGGTCCAGGCAGAACATCTCCAGGAAGATGAAGTCACAGCCGGTCTGGAAGAGGTAGCGCTGGATCTCTGCCATGCTGCGCAGGCATAGCCCACAGGGCGACTTGTAGATCACGTGGAATGACATCTGGAGCCAAAGGAAAGGTTAGGAAGCGTTCAGCTGACGCCGGCGCTTGAGTGGGACCAGCTCAGACCCCCTTCATAAAACCCATCCTATGTGATCAGCACTGTAAAATAACGGCCATCACTGTGCTAAACCACAACGACCTGACAAAACATCTTGGACACAATGTCACCCCCTGCAGGCTCCCCATTTTTATGAAATATGTACAAACCTGAAAGTTTGTGATTAAAACGGCAATGGGTGGCTGGTGAATTAAAGGGGCTCAGGGGGCATTGCAGACTCTCCTAGGCTACAGGAAGGAGCACGGGCCCCCAAATCACCTTGCGGTTGACGCGGCGTCGGCCAGTCATGCGGCGGAATTCGTAGAGTAGGGGTGTCAGCAGCGGGTTGCGGCTGCGGTACTGGTCCAGGCGGGCTGGCCGGACCCGGCTTAGACAGGCGGGGGAGCAGGTGTGCAGCAGGTAGAAGAGGCGCTCGTTGGGGGCCTGATAGGACGGCTCCTGGGGGACTCGGTCGCAGGAGTATGAGAGCTGGGGGGGTGGGGCAGGCTGCAGGGAGGTGATGGGGGACACCGGGGTGAGGGTCTGGATGGAGCCCGGCTGCAGCACAAAGACCCTGCAATTATTGGAGGGGGAGGGTGGCAGGGGGAGAGAAGAAGGGGGGGGGGGGGGGGGGGGGGGGGGGGGGGAGGGAGTCTTGTTATTAGATTCAGGGCAGCTTCACATTTCGCTTGGCAGCCATTTTCTCCAACTACAGTCCTGTCCACTTCCAACCCCGAATCTTTGGGCCGCGTTGCTGCCCCGAGTGCTTCCCCAACCTCAAACCTACAACTGGAATGAAAAATCAGGGGCGGTGCTAAGGCCGTTTTGCAGGGGGCTTTAGCCCTAAAATGTTAATTAATCACCCCCCTCCCCCCAAATAAAGTACACTCATTACAGTGTGTTCATTTGTTTTCGCTAAAATCAGACCTCAGGCTCAGCCCTCCGTTTCAGAAATCCCTAGTGACGCTCCTGATCATAATGTTACTATGTTTCCATATAGACCCAGTCCTCCGAGTCCCAAAGTAGTTCTGGTTCCTAAAAAATGGCTCAGAAAAGGTAAACTCAGAAATCAGACCAGCACAAGTTCACTCAAACAGAATAACCGTAAAACAGACAGACTCCTGTCTTGCTTTCAGATGCCATTCCCCAGACTCCCACCCAACATTCCCACTCTCCGTCCAGCACCCTCCTCATCTCCCTTGCTTATGAGAAGCCCACCCAAACTCACCAGCTCAGCATGCGCTCCTCCATGGCTCTCTGCTTACCTGGAATTGTTGGAGGGCACGATAGCAGCAGGGGCAGCGGGGGAGGGCGTGGGCATGGGGAGGGAGAGCAGAGGCCGGGGACCAGCCACCAGGGTATCGGCAGGGCCCGGGGGGCGCAAGATCGCAGCCGGGGGGGCAACAAAGGTAGAGGTGCTCTTCTTCGCTACCTGCTGTTTGGATCGAGCCAGACTGTCGGGACTCCTGTGCAAACCCATGGGAAAATGGGGCGTGAGGGTTAAAGATCCAGACACACACACACACAGACCGTTTCTCTCATTTCAATACTCAGTTACCTAGTTCTGGTAAAATTCTCTTACTGCAGCCTCCGTTCACTACAGCCAGACAAAAAATATCCCCCCCGGTCTGAACTGATCCCATAGATTAACATCCAGCTGTGGCTTTTACTTCCGGAATGGATTTGATCATTAAACTCATTAACTTGAGCCCAAAGAAGGCTGTGAAACTCTTCTAAAGCCTGCAGACGGCACTCACACTCTCACGGATACATGTAGAGCGTGGCAATGCCTCCTACAGCGAAAGGATTCCAAGCTACACATCACCCATCAAAGCTGGGGGGCTTCTTCACAATTATGAAGGATGGATGGATGGATGGATGGATGGATGGAGGGGAAACCTGTCACAGCTGTTTGTCACACTCACTCTGTGCGGGGGTGTTGCCCTGGGGTGGTTGACTGTGGAAATTTGGAGTTCACCGAAGTGCCCTGGTTCTTGCTGGTCGCCATGTTGTTTGACTCGCTGGTGTACTGAACCACGGGTCCCTTTGTCCGAATGGCTGGTGGGAGATGGACGGACACTCGAGTAAACGTTCAGGTCATAATGGTGCAGAGTAACCCCCCCCCCCTGGTTAATGGCTTCAATAAGCATCGAGCTGCGGGGGTTAGGCTCAACGAGCAAGAAGCAGCCTATTACCCATATTGGGGCGAGTCCGCTGCTGGCCGCCCTGCCTCTTCTCCTGCGTGTTGGCACAGTTGACCTTCAGGTTGAACATGGGCTCCAGGCGGGTGGAACCCCGGTAGATCCACTCGCTGCGTTTGTCATCCTGAAACGAGAAGATGGTCACCACCAGGTTACGGTCCAGCTACGCTTAAGCGATGGCCACAGAGCGGGCAGGTGCGCCCACGGACTGCGTCTGACCAGGAAGAGGATCTTGACCAGGCTGCCGTCCACCTCCTCCACACGGCTCTTCCACCAGGTGCCCTCCCACTCAGTCTTGATGACCTGACCAGCCTTAAGGAGAACCATGGGCCGGTTGGGGTAGGCAGTGATGTACTCCTCAATGAAGTCCCTGCAGGAGGCGTCCTCGATGTCCTCCCACGTCTTCTTTACTGCAAAAAAATAAAAAATCTATAGGTGCATGCCAGAACAATCAAAAATAATGCGTTCAGTTCAAATTTATATGTACCAGTGTGAGTCAATTACATCTGTAACATATACAAATCTAATTACAGACACAGATGAAAGTTTAGTGGCGTTCCCCAATTCCGGTTCTGGAGGGCCAGTCTGTGACACGGTTTGCAGATTACCCTGCAAAAACACACTTTATTCAGTTCACCAGCTAATAGCCATGTTTAGTAGGTGTGCCTGAGCAGGAAAATCTGCAAACTGTGTCACAGACTGGCCCTCCAGAACCGGATTTGCGGAAGCCTGTTTTAGGGCTTCAGGATCAGCTCTTCTGGGTAACTATCTTCATGTATGTTTTGTACTGCTGGAGCTATTCAGGGTCGTGGGGAGGAAATAATCCATCCACACACACCCACACCTTGGGGGGGGGGGGATGGGGGTACTGGAGGCCTGCCCAACAACAAAGGGAGACAAACCCCACACATTCATTAGGAATCGTCGTGCGAGGAAAGGGGACCCCGTGACTCGCAGGTCTCCGTCCTCCCTGGACCTGTAAAAAGGTGAGCAGGTCGTGGAACTGCTCATGGACTCTTACAGGGTCTGCAGACAGGGTAGAGCTCCGGCAGACTGACGTAGGATGCATAACCGTCGTCGAAAAATATCAGGAACCTGTCAAAATAGGAATAAAATCACGTATGTGCAAAGACCCGAGGGATGATTCTTATGAAGTTCCTAGGAGTCCATCGCCCTGAAAACCCTCAACCTAAACTGACAGCACTGTCAGACTGCATTTGCTCCAAATCATTCTACCCATAGCTGCACCTAACGAATACCACTGCAACCATTTCAGTCATAAATTTAGGTCATAATTTGAATTATTTCAATAAACTTTTTCTGCTCACTATTATTTGTTCATTTTATTTACATTCCCACCCACTTTCATTCACATCCCCACTTTTCGATATTTTTTTCTGCTATGCAAACATTGTGCCCAGATTACCGCTTTTCCACACGAGAAGTGCCATGCAGAGTTTCAGGGAATGCCAGCTCCCTCTCACCTCATGCGGTTCTTGCTGTTGGGCATCTCGGCCACGATGCCGGCATACAGCCACACCTGGTTGCCGTCCTTGTACTTGGCGACGACACGGGCGCCCACATAGAGCCGCTCCAGCGTCGGGTGGTAGTTGAAGGCCACGTGGTTCCCTGACAGCAGGCTCTTCCCCTTGTTCTCAAACTTAACTTTGTACTTGAAGCCGGTTCCTGCAATACAGGGGGGGGGGGGTGTTGAGAGAGAGAGAAAGAGAGAGGTCATTGGAGAGAGCAAGAGAGAGAGAGCAAGCAAAAGAGAGCAAGAGAAAGCAATAAAGAGAGGCAGAATGGGATAGAGAGCAAGAAAGACAAAGGGAGGAAGCGAGGGAAAGAGTGAGAGAGAATGGGAGAAAGAAAGAATAAGAACGAGAGAGAAAATGTGAGAAAGACAGCAAGAAAGGAGAAAAAGCAAGAGAGAGGGAGCGAGGGTGAGAGCAAGAGAGGGAGAGAGAGAGAGAGCAAAAAGGAGGGAGAGAGAGGGAGAGAGAGAGAGCAAAAAGGAGGGAGAAAGAGGGAGAGAAAGAGCAAGAGCAGGAGAGAGAGAGAGAATATGGGGGGTGTGGAAGAAAAGCAAGGGGAGAATTTATAATCTGCTTAATCGGTGCTAAAGTAATTTATTTGATGAATCAGCAGGATAATTTCTTAAGCAGCGAGCCACTGTCCAAGGCCCAGTCAGCGTGCGAAGCCGGGTTCGAGAAGCACCCGGCCTTACCGACGGGGATGATGGCGATGAGCGTGCCCGGGTGCCACGTCTTGGTCCTCTTCTTGCCCAGGATGCTCATTTCCAGCTTCATCTCGTCCTCCTTCAGGGCGGGGTTGGGCTGAGTGGGCGTGTTGCGTGGGGCTTGTGACACGAACACGGCCGGCATGGACAACTGGCACGACACGTCTGAAAGAGATGGATACAGGAGGCGGCGTCAAAACCAGCCAGAGCAGCAGAGGTGAGGGAGGGGACAGGACGGGGCGGGGAAGGTGGGGAGCTGACCTCGGCGCACAATGGTGGAAGGCAGCGGTTTAGTGGGAGTGGTGGTTGGGGTCGTCTTGTTCACAGCCTGAGCCAGCTTCTGAACCTGCTGGGAAGACCTCTGAAGGGCGGCAGAGGCCTCGTTAAACTGAGAAACAGGAGGAACCATTCAATCAGACCAACACGGGAGGCTAGCTTTGTTCCAGACACATGGCGGGAAATATAAACAGCCCCTCACCGCGGGATCCTTGGATGGTGTGGTGCCCTTCTGGGGTGGAACCACTGGAGAGGAACGGAAAGGCAAAATGCACGGATGCGTTTCAGGGATGGGTGTCTCAGGCAGCATGACTGGTCAAATCTCTCTGACAACATGTTCCTGGCATATAAGCACCTCCATTAACTTTTTTTCATATGAACGAGGACTGAACGAGATTGGAAAAAAATTCACAAACAGACAATTAAATAAGTTGGAGTTGTGCCACCAGACAAAAAGCAGTATCAGCAAATCACTTGCTTTTGCTCAATATCATCTCTATGGAATTTTACATATTTCCCTAGAGCAGAAGATGGATGTCTTTTGGTGACCAGTCCCGGATCACTTTTCCCCTCCTCCTCACTCCTTTTTTGTTAAATTTCTCAGTAACGCATCGCTCTATGACTAAATCCAACAAGACGAAAATTATTATGACTGGCTAGAACAGCGCATGTAAAGCTCATGCACAAGCAGTGCCGTTAAACTTTAGACTGATAATCTTGAAAAGGAACAATCACTTAAACTGCAACACTTGGTAAGGTTTGTTTCCTATGACAGAGCAAAAACATTTCAGCGCAATTTCATGAGGGTCCCAGTTGACTATCACGGTCCATTCGATGTGACGGTTGAACATACATAACATGCAATGTCGATAATAACATCGCACATCGTGCAGACCTCTTACGAAATGAATTTTGTTGCTGGAAATGGATACCATAAAACAATTTTATACAGATTCTCAAATAATCAAATAATGGCTCGATCCGTCTAATACGTCTCTTTTTTAAAACTATATTCAAGAGTTCTAGTGCAATCAGTAACGAACATGAGAGCGACTACATACCACAGCCAACGGCAATGACATCGTCATCATCGTCATCGTCAATTTCGATCACCTCAGATGACTGGGCGCCGCCGCCTCCCCCCTCATCTTCAGAGCTGCTATCCTTGTACACCAGCCCCATCTTGGTGTATACGTCCTTGACGAGGGTCTCGCATTCCATGACGGAACTGAAACACATATACACACGTAGGGGGAATTAGGTCATCCTCACAAAATAAACTGTTGTTTTTTTTTTTCTTCCCCAAAGTTGGACAAGCAAATGGAGTCATTAAAAAGCACCTTTTCTAAAGTGGACTTTACCAGCTGACCATGACGCACACACTTGATGTGAGGGAAATATTCAAATTTGTAGGGGGTGGAGCTTACATTTAACAATGACACAGAATTCACAACGACAGAACTGCATTTACTGCTGCATGTCTGGCATGACAGAGAAGAGGCAAGGGATAATCACAATTGTTTTACACTCATTTTTCAATGATTTTACAACCAAATTTAGAATCAGAAAAATGAAATCCTTCTCCTGGACCTTTCATAATTGTAACTTAAATGCAAGATTCGAGATATTTACCCTTTCACAGTTAACCCCATCTTATATAACCTCTTATCAATTGTTGTTGAGTGCTGATTATTAGGTCTCAATAGGCTGACATCACCTTCTGATTATCATTAAAACATTATTTCTCTAGAATGTCCTGGCTAACACTCTGATTCGCAGAATGTCCAGCAGCATGAAGCATTAACTACATTTATTCTTTATTAGCATGACGCTGGTGCAGAGGGGAAGGCCATGGCCTCGTCTCCCATGGATACGATCTTACTGCCTTCCTTGGGTATGGGAGGAATGGGTGTGAGTAGGTTCCCATGTTGCCTCCCATAAAGAATAAGGTCATTTTACTGGATCAGCATTTCTAAACAGCCTCTTATGTGCCTGGTTCTGTGTCTGCATCCTATGACAGACTGGCATCCTATCCATAAGACCCTGGGAGTTTGGGATATGTACCAGTTTTACTAGAAATGTGTACAGGACACAAGGCTGAGAAGACAGCTGGATAAAATTCACATCACTTTCAGGGTGCCCAGCTTGGAACTCAACCAAAATTTAGCTTCAGAAAAAAAACAAATTTAACAGCACAATGCATACTTGGAAATATACTGTAATATACATATATAATACACAAAAGATGTAAACAATGCAGGAAAAAGCACACAAAATGCAACATTGTATCTGTCATATAAGGCCGTATTTCATTACAGTGGTATGTCTGTTCTCGAACTTAATCCGGATGGAATCCTAAAAAGTTCGAGTTCTGATCGAATTTTTCCCATAAGAAATAATGGAAAACCAATTAATTGGTTCCCGGCCCCCCAAAATTACACCTAAATATGTTTTTTTAGCATTTAAACACAAAATGAACAGGATAAAACAAGAAGAGAATTTTTTTCTTAATGGCTTCCAAAACGATAAAGATCTTATCCCAACATTACCCCTGCCCTGCCCTGGTCTGCTCCTTCCATGTGCCACGCCCCCTCGTTAACCTCGTGTGGGATCCCCATGTGATCAGCTGTTTCTGGTTGTTGTCATTAGTCCTCTGTATTAAGTCCGCGTTTCAGTTTGTTTCCCCAGTCCGGTCATTGGGTGCGTTCAACTTGTTTACAGCACTGGCTTAAAGCAACGCATTCTGATCCTGACGCAATGCATTACGGTTAGATGCATTGCGACCTCTCACCCGGCTGCACAAACTGGAATCGCCTCCGTGACGACACACCTTTGCCCTTATTGGCTGAAGAGTTTAGTTACACGCATGACGTTTGTATCCCAGGCAGTTCCGATGCGTAATCTGCTATTTCTCCCGAATATCACGTAAAGCAGTGAGAACTGGTTTTCAGTTAATTTACCTGGTAAAATAAAGTTTTAATAAATGACATAAATGCTCTAATAGTACATGTAAGTTAGTAGTTTATTTATTGTTAGTTACCGTAATGTTGCGCTGTTTTATTTGGTTAATCGTCCAGTCTGTGAAGAAGGCATTCAAGTAAGAATTGCATTGTAGTATGACACATTTCCTGGCGCGTACAATTTATATTAGGTCAGCGTTCACTGTTCGACTTCTGATATTCAGATGGAGTTCTAGGTCAAACTGGTTTGTTCAACTTCCAAGAAATTCGAGTTCTAGTGAGTTCGAGAACCGAGGTACCACTGTATTTGTAATTTTATAATAATTTAGCAGACGCTTTTATCCAAAGCAAGGTACAATTGAGAGAACAGGGTCAGCCGGGCACTGGGGCAATCAGATTAAGGCCCTCGCTCAAGGGCCCAATGCCGACCACAGGATTTGCATCCTAACCTATGGAACCACTTACATACCATCCTTATATTTATCCTTCAAATGACTGAACAAAAAGGGACAGCCGGCTTTCAGGTAAACTTTCCACGACACTGTTTATATATGCCCCTTCACACAGTGATCTTATGCTGTTTGCAGTCCTAGAATTAATAAAGTTCTTCTTATCTTATTTAAGCAACTCAGTAACCAAGGTGAAACATGGGCTGCTCATGCTCACACACACTTACTCAGAGGCACTGCTGAAGAGCGAGTCCACAGCAGCCACCTCTCGCTCCCGCTGCTCCACCCAGTCCTGCAGTTCAGCTAGCTGGGCCTTCCTCTGCCTCACCACCTCACTGCGTTCCACCTCCTCCTCGATCCAGTGCCTGAGCTCCTCCAGTGACACACCCAGGTCATCCATCACGCATTCCTCCAAGTCCTCCATCCTTGATATGAAGTCAGAGAAGTACATCAACACTAAAACAATTCTAGAGTAGTCTTTAGAACGGAAATGGCATTATCTGCATAATAAATGAATACATGTAAAAGGAAAGAGGTCGCTAACCCACCACAGCTTCCAAAACAGCAGTTAAGACCACCTATATGTACAAAGCTTACTCTTACTGGTTTAACGTAGGAGCTGAAAGTTATAAACAAAATAGTACAGAAGGAGGGTATGCAATCGAATGCCTATGTATAGTCATCAGATATACTTAATAATATTTAAGTTTTTGCGTTCCATTGATTACTGCATTACTTTTTGCAGGAGCGAACTAAAAGGCTAAAAACTGAACAGAAATTATTTAGTACGGATTAAACTATGAACAGAAACGCAATCGCTGTGGACTAATGTAATCATCCAAGAAACGATTTTCCGGTCTTCTGAATCAACACACAATATAAAAACATCCTATAAAAAAACCTAAAAGTCGATCAGGAACTTGTCGTTCAAGATCATGGTTATTGTAGTTTTTAACAGGAACAGAATTGTCTTTAATAATGCCTGTAGTTAAATTTAATAAATTTTTATAAAAACCGCCGTCATGAGGAATTACTAAGTTATGAAGGAGAGGATTTATATAACAATAAGCCTTAGGAGGCATTTCATTTATAACCAAAGGTTTGTCTAAATAAAACTACAACTACCTTGATTGACATCTAACTAGTTGACACCGGGAGCATAATTACGTAATAAAAACGCGACGTTTTCGCTGGACTGCGCGTGAATTCAAATGTCTTGTTTTGCTTATTTTGTACTTTAACCCATTATATAGTTCACTTAACAAAAAACACCTTTATATGTAAAAATACATATATAACTTAGAAGAGTTTCCAGGCAAAGGCTGTATTCGACCTCTATAATATCCCTTTAGTTGAATACTTCCACAACAACGTCGTCGACTCAGCGAAGCAGCTAGCTAGAGGTATTGCAGTTAACTTACCTTAATTTGCCACCTGCGATTCTCCCCCGTTTACTTCTTGTGCCGTCTCGTGCTCAGTATGTATATAAAAAGACTTATTAATTGATTTGTGCATCTATAACTTATTTTATGAATTAAAACACTACCAGTTACCGTTCAAGGCAGTACATCTCAATGCAGTATTTCAGCCCGCTCTGACAGCCAATCAAGTGGCCGTGTCTTCTATTTCCGCCTCCAGGAAATTCCTATTTGCTGATTCGCTGATTGGCGTTTGTAATGACAACTAAGTTTATGAAGAGGTATCACCAGATCCCTCCTCCTATATTTTTTACCAGTTATTCGGGAAAATGTTGGCCTCTGAAGCTGGAACCGGCGGAGTACCGGCGTGTGTGTTAAGGTGCTAATTCGTGAGCTGGACTTATTGACCGTGATTCTCAGACAAAAGGTGTCATAAATAATTATGGTGATATTGATTAACATTAATAGTAATATTTGAATATTTAACAGAGTCATTAATTGGCCATACCTAGTCTACAGAAAGTTCTCTTCCATCCATCCAGGACATTGTGCTCAAACGCCATCTCAGCTGAGCCTGTAACATCCTCAGAGACTCCGCCCACCCCCGCCACGGACTGTTCTCCCTGCTGCCCTCTGGGAAGAGGCTTTGCAGCATCAGGACCAGAACAGCCAGATTTTGTAATAGTTTCATTCCTCAAGCCATTAGACTCCAGAACTCTTAATAACTCATGGCAACCCCTCCCCATCCATGCACATGTCACTTTCAAGAACTGTTTTTTAAAAAATGTCTAGTGCAATATATCCGAAATGGTGATGTACACTGGTTTTTGCTGCTATACTGCAGTTAATATATTTTTATGTATATTCTATGTTAATTCCACTTTCTATTCTATTTTCTGTTTATTTCATATTTAAATTTATATTTTTAAGTTTAAGATTTTTAGTATTAATACACTCTGCTAGGCCGATGGTGAGTCAATGCAATGTAGTTTCATTCTGATGTGCACTAACCGCTGTATGTTTTGAATGACAATAAAAGTAGCTATTCTATTCTGTTCTTAAAATCTTTTGTGTCAAACTTTTTCAGTATAAATATGACTGCATATAGTCATATTGCTTCTGTTCTTAATTTAGAAGATTTTGGGATCGAAGAACAAACTGACAGTAATAAAAGCAAAGAAAAACAATAACAGAAAACATGATGTAGCTGGTGCTTTGCCCCTCCGTGTTTGGTTCCTGCTGTGTATCATCGATGTGGGTGCAGCTAAAAAGGAATAGGCAGGAGACTCAGGTAAGATGCAAAAACCTGCACATATATACTTCGCCTCTGTCAAAGTCTCCAGAACATTAGGCTGGATAACCCCACGTTCAGCCGTGGGTACCAGGATGAACACACTAGTTCTGCAGAACAGGACCCTGGTGGCTGGGAGACCAAGGGTCCATGGCAATAGAAAGTCCATGGGCACTCACAGGGTCTGCCTGTAAATTAAGTGGGTTGTTGAGGACTGGAGATCCTTCTTAAGTGCTGTCCTGATTAGTGAAAACGCTCACACAACCAATTGGTGTGATGTTAACCAAGAAGAGCTAACATGTGATCCATCAGCCCAGAGGGCTTCGAGCCCTGCCAGTGCAAGCAAATAGTGCACACGTTCCATTTTGGACAGGTTGAAAGTTTACAACAACAGTGCTTCTAAAATTCCATATTTGTTTGTATCTGGAGGGTTCTGAAGCAGACTTACCACTCTGATCAAAGTGGAGTTGTACGCCATGTGCCCCTGCACGGCAAACTGAACCTCCACCAATTCAAACCAAACTTTCTTCTGGCTGCAACCTCTCTGAAACATACTCGCAGAGAAAATGCAAAATACTTCGAGATATTTGGGGTCACCACGTTGGAGGCAGGTGCAATGAAAAAGGAAGTGGCCGAGTTCTAGTGAGTTGTTGGCAAAAACCAACATGTCATATTTCTCAGCAGTGCACTTCTTAGCTCCCTAAAGGGGCATCGCATCCTATCTCTACCTGTGCGCATGAACATAGGTAAGGAGTATGTAAATTATACCTAAACAGTAGTGATGGGCAAGTGAAGCTTCATGAACCATTTGCTGTATTTTCTGACTCCTCTAGATGGTGCTGTCTGTTCATAAGGGCACAAAACACGCCCCAAAGCAAACCAAGAGCCAACCCATCACAGGGCACACTCGAACACCGTTCACTGACACCTATGGACAATTTGGCAACTCCAATTAACCTCTGTATGTTTTTAGACTGTGGGGGGGAGGACTGAAGTACCCAGAGGAAACCACACAACAACATGGGGAGAACCTGCAAACTCCACACACATGGAATTCCAGCAGAAACTGTGAGGTGACAGTGCTTAGGCACAAAGCGATGATAATGCAGGGGTGGCTTACTGACTACTCTGTGAATGCCCTGGTGTGACCCCACCAGAGTCCAGAACCCAGTTGAACATCCCCAAAGAGACCTGGATCTAGCTGTCCATTGACAGTCCCCATCCAAAATGACAGAGCTTGACAGGATCTGCAGTGAAGAATGGCAGAAAATCTCCAAATCCAGGCGTGCAAAGCTAGCTGCATCATACTCAAGAAGACTCAAGGCTGTAATACCTGCAAAAGGTGCTTCAACTAAGTACTGAGTAAAGGGTCTGAATATTTAATTCACAGTTTTTAAAATAAATTTGCAACGATTTATAAAATATGCTGTTTTCGCTTTGCCATTATGTAGTGTTGAGTGTAGATCGATGAGGGAAAAAATGAATTTAAATGATTTTAGCATAAGGCTACAGCATAACAAAATGTGAAAAAGTGATGGGCTCTGAGTACTTTTTGAATGCACTGTAGCTGTATGTATCTGATTACCAGATTGATTACAGAAATTATTTCATAATGGTGGCTCTGAGGTCAGTGTAGCATGAGAAGGTACATCTTATGGGTACGTTCCCTAGTCTCTGTTTTTCACTGCATATTTTCTTTATCTTGTAATGGTTGCATATTTTGTTACTTGATATCTGAGTGCTATCATTTGCGGAGCCTGGGGTGACCTGTCCTGCTTTATGAATTGTTTTTACCTGCATCGCGGGGGTGCCAATGTGTCACACTGTGAAAAGTGGCCTAATTGTATTTTTGTGAGTTAAAACGTCCTTCAGAAGCCTCCAGTGTATCTTTATAATGAGTGTCTGTGGTGCGGTTTGTTTGAAGCTCCAGAGTGTCTATCCTTGATGTATAAGAATGGGATGGTACTCCAGTATCCAGACGCGACACAAGAAGGAGAGTAGTGAAGATAGACACTTTGTTAGGGATGTGATGACGTCCTCCAGCATGCAGTGGGCAGCCTTCATGCCCTTTGACCCCTGTGGCTGGATACAGGTGTGGCCTGATAGACCCATTGCTGATCTTACTAGGTGAGATACAATCTCAGCACAGAAACATGTTCTGACAGTAGTGGGTGATGCAGCATTTAGACTTAACTACGTATCTTACCTGGCTTAGAACAGGCATTGTTAAACTGGAACTCTCTGGACCTGCAACAGCATTTCTTTGTGCATTTTCAGCCATCAAAAGAAAATTCTGAAATTGTTGGATGTCCAACATCAACAGCCTGTTGCCTTGCTACAGATTACCTTGCAGATTAATGTTCTTATTCAGCATAAGCAACAGGCCTACATTATCATACTCTTAAAAAATAATATTGAACTTTAACTTCCCTATATCCAAAATGTGTTGTCTTTAATGCATCAATAATAAGCATGTATATTTGTCACACCCTGCCCGTCCGATCCTCTGTGTACCACGCCCCCCTCGTTAACCTCGTGTGGATTCCACGTGTTTACCAGCTGTTTCGAGTTGTTTCTATTGGTTCGGTGTATTTAAGTCCGCGTCTAAGTTTGTTTCCCTAGTCCTGTCATTGTATTGTTATGACGATCCTGTCCCGTTATAACAGAATGACAGGACTCCAGAAGAAAACGCCTCGTATGACAGAGGAAGAATACCTCAGCATTACTGATGAGGTAATTAACTGGCTTGATCAGCCCGAAATCCCGGATGATCACTTACGTCGGGCTCTAGCCCACCGGAGCAGGGACATACTAGAGGAGCTGTTCCTATCCGGAGACGCGCACCTGACCGAGGAGGTGCACGCGAATCTACGACAGCTGAGAAGAGGGGCCGCGGAGTCAATGATGCGGCGGGTAGCCTTGGACAGCGGACTGCTATACGGCCTAATGTCCAAGCTGCCTGAAGTGCCCCCGACTCCGCCTAAAACTACGGGGAAAAAATAAGCAGAAGAGCTGAAGATGGGAGGAAGCACCAGAGGTCCTCCAGGGAGCCATCACGGTCTCTGCTGCCTCCCCTGCAGTGAATCGGGAGGAAACCCTCCCAATTCTTAATCCCGTGGTGTTTGCCCCTGACACCGCCACTGCTTCGCCACCGTGGTTGCCTGACCTCCAAATCCACACCACTTTGTTGCCGGAATAAGCAGCTTACCCCTTTTCCGGGATGCACCTGGCTCTTAAAGGGGCCAGTGGCCTCATGTATAATGACGTGCGTAGAATTCACAGTAAAATAGGAAGTACGGACAAAACTAGGAATTTGTGTACGCAAGTAAAAATCCAGATGCACAAAACTGTGCGTAAACACAGATTTGCGTACATTCCCTTTATAAATCCCAATCAGCGTGAAATTTTACTCAATCCCCCCACCCGCCTATAATTATGTATATTTGAATATGCAAATCAATATAAGTACCCACTTTGTTCAACGTTTTTTTTTTTTTAAACAATGGCTAAGGCACATGGTAAAAAGAAAAATTTCAGCGAATGCGAAGTGGAAGTCTTGCTTACCGAAATTGAGGCAAGAGAAAAAAAATTCTGTTTGGTGGATTAAGTAGCGGCACCGTAAGAGTCTCAACACCACTGGAGGAGGTAGCGGAATTCCGGGGCTAACGTTGCTGCTGTTATTGGGGACTCACTTTTAACGGGAATCTTGCCAGCGGGCGAGGGGGACTCCGACATCAGCGTGGGTGAGTTTTTATCTGTCTGTCTGTCTGTCTGTTGTACTTGTTTGATTTATTTGCATGGTTAAATTGAACAAGCAGGCAGCACATGCGTCAGTACTCATGTTTATTCTGTTTCAGACAATAGTTCAAGAAGCGACCCCCGTGCTTTGGATGATACTTCTGGCGGTGAAGGCGCTGCTGTGCCAAGCACATCATCGGGCGCTGGCTGCACACACTCCCGTGCCTCAGAAACCGAGGGGCGACCATCCGGACGTGTGCTCACGGAAGCTGTGCTGCAGTCACAAAATGCAATAGTAAATGCTGTAACAAATGTTGCAAATGAACTAAAAAATATACATGCTGTGCTATGTGACATTAACCACACGTTAAAAGAATTAATGAAAAAATAAATTCTGAGTTTGATTACCTGTTTTTACATTCTTTCTATTACATTCAAATGAAGTTGTAACGCTGCCCCATTTGCCAGAACATTTGGTGGGTCGAGGTCAGGTTAATCATTCCTCATCTCTTCAGGCACAGGCAAGCCACGATGCTGTGCCACATTATGCAGCACGCTACATGCGTGCACGATG